ACTAGATTGTATTTATGAACTTTTTTAATGAAATTATATTTTTTAAAAATTATATTTAATAAATAGTTTAATTAAAAAAAATTTCAAAATACCTCTTGATTTAACATCATTAACCCTAAAATTTGATATTAGGACCAAAAAAGTCCCCTTTTAAGGAGTTAAGGAACCAAAATTGATCCCTCAAAAGAAGTGGGGACTATTTTGATCCCTCACAAAAAGTTGGGGACCATTTTGGTCCTTATATATATAAGGCAATGAAAGCCAATACATCTAAATTATCCAAATCAACAAAACTAAAACTTGCATGATGTGAGTGTATTTGATGACAAATTTGAGAATCTTAATATTAATACACTTTTATACTGTTGAATTTAAATTTGTCTTGTTGGTGATACGGTGATACGGTGATACCTGAGAGCTGCAATGGTTTATAGTGCAGAATGTTGACCATTAAAAGAGAAGCATATATTAAATTAAGTGTTGCAGTGATGAGATGCTCAGGTGGATGAGTGGCTTTACTTTTAGAGATATGATATGAAATGAGCATATATGTGAAAAGATTGGAGTAGCTCTAGTGAAAGATAAGATTAGAGAGAGTCACCATAGATGGTTTGGTCACATAAAACAATGGTCTTTTGATGACCCAGTTAGGAAAATAAATGTATTATATTTGACTTATGCTAAGAAAGGTAGAGATAGTCCTATTAAGACTTGGTTAGAAAGTTTTAGAAATGATATTTCTTTATTAGATTTAAATGAGAATTTGACTCTTAACATGACACTATGGAGAAAAAGGATTCATGTCGCCGACTCCACATAGTGGGATAAAGGCTTGATATTGTTGTTGTTGTGATGATACCCGATATTAGTAGTTCAATCTTGTGAGCTTGAGAACCTATCAATGAGAATGGAGATAAGAGAATATTGAGTAGGGAGAATAGGCTAGCAATATCTTCACTATTTCAGTCAAGAATACAAGAGTGACCTCAGGGTCTGAAAAGATCAAAAGAACCCAAAAAAGTTTTTTTGAGAAAGTTTTTTCAATGATTCCTCGTGTCTTTATTTATAGAGTTTTGAGGGCTACATGAAAGACTACACGTAGAAAAACTAGAACATGACAACATGACAAATACCCATACAATATTATATGTTAATCTAGGATATCTAGCACCTTTTGATTGGCTACAGAAGGGCGAAGTTAACAGTCTGGTGAGTTGCTTGTTGTTGGGCGAGCTTTAGAGGGGCCTAGTAGGTGTACGGCGAGTCTTGAGAAAAGTCGAACACGTAGTCATTTAGTCGTCTTATGAAGCCGACTAGTAACATAGAAGACTCTGTGTTGCCCTTTGGAGGAAGGCGAGTCGAGGTGTCGGTGGGGATGATGAGTTCCTGAATCTGAGTGAATAAAAGGGTTATTTGAGGTTGTCATTTTCTCATAGGTAAGTTTAGTGTGCTTAGGGAGTAAGAGAGTTTGATTGAGATTAATGGTGATCTTCTTGCTTAGTGAGGAACCTAGTGGTCGCCTAGTATAGGGCGAGTTTCTTAATGCATATGGGTGAGTAACACCCTCTCCTTGGGTGAGTTCCTCAGATAGCTGCTTCATGCCCTGTAATTTTGTTAAAGAATTAAATCCTAAACCTAATTATCTAAACCACAATATAACATATGGGTGTGCACTTCTCGGTGTTATGGCATGCTTTTTGAGGTAATAACTCATTTCTCTAGGTGGTGGCATGCTTCTCGAGTCATCAACGTGTTTCTTGATGTGATGGCGTGCTTTTTGAGGCAGTGGTGTGAGCTTCTCAAAGCAATGACTAACTTTTTGTGGCAGCACATTTTGCGATATTGTTGTGCGCTTTTGGAGGCAACAGGCTTAAACTTGAAAGTTACATTTTTATGCATGCTAAATTAAAAATATTTATATTTAGTTATGATGCATGAGTGTTTATCATTGAAAGGCGTGCAAAATTTCATTTTTTTTTTAAATTTTAAAAGTCGCCCTCTATTAACATGCACGTGTATGTTGTAAATATGATGGTATTGTTTGTGAATTAAATTTCTTTTATTTTAAATAGAAGAGATGTTTAATTTATCTTATCTTGTTCAAGTTCTCATTTAGCATAGTTTGTAGAATTTGATTGTTCAGCTAGAGTTAGAATATCATGTTCTTGTCCATAGGCGAGCTATTGTGTTCATTTCAAGTTTGATGTTTGTATTCAAAATTATTTGTTAAAAGCCATGAATGTTCCATATTGGTGTGTTGTCATTTTGTCCTTAGCGTGCATTTAAATTTTTATTTACTGCATTTTAATCGTGCTGATCAATTTTAAATGTTCATTGTTTAAATGGCATTCAAATAGAATTTTACTAACTCTTCTTCTTTAACGCGCTTAAAAAATGCATGGGGTCTTCATCATCTGCAAGTGCTAGAATATATCTTTTCTTACGACATTGGAACAACACGAATAAGTACTTATTTTGTAAATTTTTCTATCGCGTTGGAACAACCCGCATACGCACTTAATTTTTGTAAATATTTCTTCCATATTGTAACAAGATGCATGAGTATTTAGTTCGCAAATTTCTCAGCCATATTGGAACAACACACACGAGTTTTTAGTTTCAAGACTTTCGAAATTATACCTTGCATGCGAGGTGAGCGATAAGGACATGATAAGGCAACACAAATTACAAGGGCAAAATTGTAATTTTTTTCTTTTTTTATGACTTTTTTCCTTTTTTGAGGGGCTTGGGTTTGTGTGATAATTGAGAAGGAAATGAGAGTGGGGTTCACTTTGTTTTCCTTTTTAATTATTTGTACCTTATCTGTGGGACACATAGGGTGGCTGCACTGTAGGATTTTTTAAATTTAAAATTAGATATATTAATTGATTTAAAAAAAATAATTTATAATTTAAAATCAATGAATAAAAAGAACATAAAGATGTGAATCAACCCCTCGAGCAATTCATCGTTTATTATCTTGATTTGCATCATTGCATGCCATTGCATTGCACGCGTGCAAATTTTTTCTTTTTTCTCATGTGACAACCTATGCAATGTGGGTGTTCTTTCTAGGTAATGTTGATGTTTTGGATGCAACGGCGAAGTCTAATTCACAATTAGAGGACATTCAGGTGACTTCGCGCAATGTTGCAGCTGTAGTCCATCACTTTCGTATTATATTCTCTTGAGTTAATCGCGAGAGGTCTTTGGGTAATTTTGTTGTACTATTTCGTGATTGGACTACGTTTGGCGATTTTGCGTAGCGTCATGTCCATAAACTATCATATTTTTCATCGCTTGATTGAGCACCCCAAAGTGTTTCTTGATTATTCGACGTTTTGAATGTGTTAGTGTAGTGCATTTTGCAAACGGATAATGTTGAGTAATCTTGACCGCGGCCGAGGCATTTTGAACTCATTACGCACAATGTTACGCCAGTCATTCATTGTGTTTGTTGCACTCGATTGCATTGATGCAACATGTATATGGAGGTCAATAATTTTATATTATGCTTACCTTTATGTAATTTGTATGGACTTTACATATTTATATTATCTTGATTGGGGTACTTCACAATCTATTTTTTTAATTCTTAAACCAAAATGATTCAGATGGCAATTGTTATAGAATCCTAAGCTTGTGTAATTTACATGTTTCCTTTTTTCAGTTGCTAGGTTTTTATCGCACATATTTGGTGCAACAAAGAATAAAGCTTATTTGTTCTATAAATTCCTCATGTCTTGAATGATGGGATATATATATATAAAGCACATTAATTCCCAGATATTATTTCTTATCAAATCTTCACATTAAATGCTAAAGCAGTGTTGAATGTTTCCTTGAATCTCCCAATTATTCTTTACAGTGTACATCCACATTAAATTTCTCTACTTTAATGATTATTTACTTCCAAAATGCCCATTTAGTTGATTTCATACAACTAAAATCTATCAGTTGCATGTTATGATAGTTCCTGAATTCAGTTTTGGTATATTTGTTACATGCAGCATTTTCGGAATCAATGACATCTACAGCTAGCCAACCCCAATTTCGCTACACTCAACCACCATCTAAAGTGATTCATCTGAGAAATCTACCATGGGAGTGTACGGAAGAGGAACTCGTTGAATTTGGAAAACCTTTTGGTAAAGTTGTTAATACAAAATGCAATGTTGGAGCAAATCACAATCAGGCTTTCATTGAGTTTGTGAGTTCCAACTCATTGTGATTCCTTACACATCTTGTCCTGACTTAATGGCCTAGTTTTCATCTTCATGGTGTCCGTACTTTCTTCCTGCAGAAAGACTTAAATCAAGCAATTGCAATGATCTCGTATTATAGTTCATCAGCAGAACCTGCACAGGTACGAGGGAAAACTGTCTACCTTCAATATTCGAACAGGCAAGAAATCGTCAATAACAAGTCTACAGGAGATGTTGCAAGCAACGTTTTGCTAGTAACAATTGAGGGTGTGCAGGCTCATTATGTCAACATTGACGTTCTACACGTGGTATGATGAATTTTCTTTATATAGAGGCATATGTATATTGTAACGTTGTAATTTTTTGTTGCCGTAATTCTATTCTGTAATATAATTGGCTTTAAAAATTAGATACTATCTTTTTGACATGAATTTAAATGGATTAGCAGGCCCATGTCAGGGAAACATCTTCATTGGCGGCCTACTGCATCGGGAGAATGCGCATGTGTTTGTCTCCTCTCCCTTGCTTAACGCCATTTCTTAAACTTCTCTCTCTCACCCTCTTCCTCTATCTTGAAGATTTAGGATGTGTGCTTGCTTCTCCTCTCTATCTATTTCCCTTAGCTCTTAAGTCTAAAGGCCGTTTTTTTCCCAGGAATTTAGCTTTTTATATTATTCTGGACAACTTATTTATTCAGAGTTAGTTTTATGATTTAATTCATATTATTTATCTGTAAGTAGATTTTTTCCTTATGATACTTGCGGTTTTCTATTTGGCAGACTTAAAATGCATAAAAGTTTGATCAGTTGCTTAGTGTAATCAACACAATCGAAGTGCCATCAATATCAGTGCTCCTGTCTGATGTATAAAGTGCTAATGATATTAAACCAACCAACCAATCCGAGATTATGAAGTAGAATCATCGTACTTGGAAGTGATCTTTCAAATCACTAAAACATGCCAGCTTATCGGTTAGTTCCTTTGTCATGCCAATCACCACGCACAATGTTCAGTTGACTACTAAAATATTATTCTTAAAGCGTGTTGCCTACTATTAGTTTATAGCCTGTTACTTGGTGTATTAAATTTATCACAAGAAACTTATGTTTTGTCATATAATCAGTACCATATGTTGTTTTAATTCAATATAAGTTGTAGGGGATCAATTCATATTCATACGTTTCCAACTCAGAACTTGTAATTGTTAAACTTCTAGATTGTGTGCAAATATTGAAATATCATCTATGCTGTGCCACCATGGCAAGTACTGGCAAAGAGGTATTGGGAACTAGTATTCTTTCAGAATATTCATGGGAATAGAAAACATACCTAGGAATATTCATTGCAAAGTGTTTTTGTGGTGTCTATTCAGGGGCAGATCCAACCTTATTTTTGAGGGTGGACAAACTCATTATATAAAAAATTAAATGCCAAAAATTAAAGAAATGTATATATGCTAAAATTCTAAGCAAAGTATATTATGTGGGAAAAAGTGGCTTGTGATATTAAGAATATTGCAAAAGATGTGCTTGGAGTTTCAAAGGAAAAAACTTCTAATAGTAAAAATAGTTCGTGGTGGAATCCAAATGTACAAGAAGAGATAAAAAAATAAGAAAATTTGTTATAAAAATTGGCTTAGATGTAAAAATTCTGATAATTGGAAAAGCTATAAAGAGTCTCGTAAGAAATCTAAGAAAGCTATTTGCGATGCAACCCTAGTAATGAGAAATTGTCAATACCATGGTTTCAATCAAAGGATGCCAATTGGATGGGCTTGAATACAGGGCAAAGCAGGTGTGATTGGGATGGTGGCATTTGAACCAATGGGAGGATAGTTGCGGAAAATTGGGGCTTTGTAGTACGAAGACTTTACACAGAGAAGTTCTTTCGCATTGAAAAAGGGTAATGCGATTTTGAGCCAAACAAAAGAATTGCCCCAAAGTTAGAAGCAATATTAGTGTTAAGAGATGAAGTGCCTAAAAGCAATGGTTGAGATTAAGAGGTTTTAAAGTATATTATTTGATGGTTAAGATGTTAGTTTAATAAAGTTTCAAGTACTCTTAAATAATAATATATATAGTTTCTATAATGTTACCGTTAGGGTGTAGGGCGTATTAATATAGATCATTGTTTAAAATTGTGCAATATGAGGCTCGCCTTGAGGTCCGCCTTTGCGCAATTCCACTGAAAAACGCCTCAAGGCTTGCACCTCGAACCTTTTTATGAGGCTTGCACCTCAACTTGGTTGAGGCCCGCCTTTGAGAAGCGCCTCGCCTCACTAGCGTGAGACGATACGCCTTACCTTATATATATTTTTTGTTAATACTTACCTAAATCCTAACTAAAGCTCCAAACAAATCATGCCTTAATGCATCGTCGAGCCACAACAACTTCCTCTCGACTGCCTCATCCTCTAGCCTACCGCCTTCTCTACAGCCACCATTGTCATAGCCACTATCAGGGATCACTGGAAAGCCGCACACTACCACCACCTCATCTAAACAATTTAGGTATTATTCTCATCATTAAATTGATGACAAATATTTATGAAAGACGAAGATGACTAAAATAAATGATGGAGAAGCAGATTGTGAGGCTTGGACTCCATAGGATGAGGCAGAGAAGAGACCAATTTGTTATGATAATGACTCCAATAAAAAACCCCTCACTGATGACCGTGCAGATGATTTCTGAGTTGTTAACAACTATTTTAACTTTCTTTAAGAATTAATTGCGAATGAGTAAAGAAGAGAGAAGGAATTTGAAGTTAAAGTTGATGTTATATGATACTTTTATGCAATTCTTATATTTTATGTTGTTTGTTCTTGGATTTCAATTATATTTCACGCAACTTATCATTTGCCACTTCATGTGCAATTTTTTTCATATCTATGTCAATTTGTTACTTCATAGTTCAATGAAAAGCTAATATGTCATTCTTTAACATATTACTTTAATATTATATAAAAAATAATTTTTAAACTTTATTTTTCCTTCACGCAATTATTGGATTTTGAGGCTTACGCCTCAGAACGCCTTGAGGCTTACGCCTCGCCTCACGAATGGAAAACACCTCAATACCCAATTGCGCAATTTTAAACTTTGATATAGATCTATAACGAGATTGAAAAAATCGCAAATCACATACAGTTTTGTGGATCACAAACTCTTAATTTAAATAATTTTCATCCTATTATATACAACAACAACAACATCAAGCCTTTGTCCCACTACATGGGGTCGGCTACATGAATCCTTTTTCTCCATTGTGTTCGGTTAAAAGTCAAATTCTCATTGAAATCTAATAAAGAAATATCATTTCTAATATTTTTTAATCAAGTCTTTTTAGGTCTACCTCTACCTTTCTTAACATAAGTCAAATCTAATATCTCAACTTTCCTAACCAGGTCATGGCCTCCGTTTAATGTGACCAAACCTTCTAAGGTGGCTCTCTCTAATCTTATCTTCCACTGAAGCTACTCCAACCATTTCATGTATATGCTCATTTCGTATCCTATCTCTAAGGGTCAAGCCACTCATCCACCTAAGCATCCTCATCTCTGCAACACTTTACTTAGTATTATGCTTCTCTTTTAATGGCCAACATTCGGCACCATAAAGCATTGCAGGCCGCACCACCATCTTATAGAATTTTCCCTTAAGTTTGAGGGGGACTTTTCTATTGCACAATAAGCCCGATGCATTCCTCCACTTCAACCATCTAGCTTGAATTCTGCTGATAATATCCCCATCAATTTCAACATCACTCTAAACAATAGATCCAAGATATCTAAAACATGTACTCTTATTAATGACTTGATCGCCCAAAGTCACAATTCCCTCACTAGGTCTTTTACTACTAAAATTACACTCCATATATTCAATTTTAGATCTACTCAAGCGAAAACTTTTAGACTCTAAGGTTGACCTCCATAATTCAAGTTTACCTCAACTCCCTCTCTAGTCTTATCAACAAGAAGAATATCAACAACAAAAAGCATACACCAAGGTACATCCTCTTGCAAATGTCTAGTGAGAACATCCATGACTAAAGCAAAAAGATATGGACTATTCTATTTCAGCATTTCTATTTCATTATTTTATTCTTATTGTACCCACAACACTTAACTTTGCATGCATTTGACTGATTAAAAAGGTGGAAAATCATGTCGCCGGGAAATGATAGAAGGCTGTTAGTGGAGCCTTAGTGCATAATATTGTATTAAGGCAATTCCTGAAGCATTAAATCTTTAGCCCTTTTGTTAATTTCTCCCCTTCCCATTCACGCATGAGAGGCCGCTGCTGTGCTGGCTGTGAATTAGCTGAGAGTTGAAGTAGGCGGGCTTCTATGTGGAGCTGAATTCTGCAATGTGTTGCTTGAATTTGGTAAGATAACAGAGTGTGTAAATGCTATATGCTGTATGTTGTGTAATTGTTGAAATAAAATGTTGTATGCTATTGTAATTATTGTAGTGTGCTGTAAATGATGAAATCATTTAGGAAATAACTGAATTGCTGCTGCTATATGGCTGAATTCAGAAATTAGGGAAGGAAAATAGCTAAATGACTGCTGTGATTGATATGGGATGGCTGTAGTTTGCTGTAATAACTGGAAAACAGCTGAATGGTGCAGTTTTCCTTCATTTCTCTCACTCATATGTATCTCTGTTCGCTGGAATGCTGAAGACAGCTTATGGAGGTGCTGAAAATTTACAGCTGATTGTAGAAATTAGGGAAGAGAGCATAGGAAGGAGGTTGGATTGAATGAAGAAGAGCGTAATTGAAGTGATATACAAAAGGAGAAAGTATCAGAATACTTTAGGTTAATTAGTTTACCCAACTGTTCTGGAAGACGAGGTGAGATACCCAAACCATGCTATAGGAATTAGTAAATGTTTTATCTAATTGCAATCTAATTTCAATTCGTATCTATTATGATTATGATGGTTATGATAACATTTATTTTATTTTTACTTCAATTTATTCTTGTATGAACATGTATACATGTATGCATATGTTTATTTCTAGAGTAATATTTATAATAGCATATGTCATGTTGGTTAAAAATGATTGCTATTGAGAAAGTGAAATAAGTCATATATGGGGGATAGACCTGCACAAGTAAAGACGAAAGACCCGACGAGATAAGTTTACACTCTCAATTCTAGATGTTGGGAATATGGACCCAACCTTGAATGAGAGAGCGACATCAATTCTAAAAGTTGGGAAGTTGGACCCAACCTTGAATTGGAAAGATGAAAGGGTGTAATAGTTTCTAGCAATTATATGACTTGTTTAAAGATGTTGAACTGACAGGAAGATTCAAAATAATGCTATGCATTTCTTACTATCAGTATGGAATTTCAATATATTCTACCTATGTTATTATTAATGTTATGAAATTCTTAATTGTTAAACAATGTTATTATTATTTCTTATACATTGTTTGTGTATTTCGTTGAGCTATAGCGTATTAGCAGTGATTGTACTGCAGGGAAAGGGAAGGAGCCCGTAGGGCATTAAAGGAGTAACTGTTCTTTTTGAGTGTACATATGTTTTGGGTGTATAGTTAGATCTAAAAAGAGATTTGAATGATGGTTGTACAGGCTTTTGGGTATGTATGTAAATTTTGAAAGTTTCAGTAGAGTTTTGTATTTACTTGCATTACGTGCTTCCTATTGTTAAATATAGAACTTGATATGTTAGGAGAGTCTAAATAGATTTCTTTTTTACTCATCTGATTCTGACAGAAGTGGCTTAGAATGGGTGTCAGTAAGAAGGAGCCTATTTAGATTTTTTCCTTCTCTGTTATACTCCAGGTTGACCATTAGGGATTTGGGCCAACTAGGGTGTGACACATGAACACAGAAATGAGGGAATTGAAGACAACAACCCACGTGGCATATGTACGACCCATGGAAATACACAAAATAGAGGAAATCAAAGCTGGCATCTTGTTTGAAAGTTATAAGTGCTTGTGGAATGCATGAAAGCCATAAAAGCCTGCATGATGACATCAGATAGAGGGGGGAGTTCTGCATCAGATTAGCTTCATTTTTTTCATGGTAAAAGAATTATTTTGCAGGCTGTTAAATTTCATGGTATTTGAAGGCTATTAAGAGTTTGTGATCTGTAGATCTTTTCATCTATAAATCCTTGGGGTTTGAGAAGGGCATTGGTTAACTTTTGTAGGCTTAAAGCCGTTAAAACATTAAATAAATTTTTTAAATGTTTTGGAAAAGGAAAGGAGCCATCATCTTCTTTGAAGGGGTGGCTATGATTAAGCTCTAGGGTCTGATGTAGACAATGGGGGGGGGTCAACACGAGTCCAAAATAAATCAAATTTTGGCTTCCCTTGAGTCTAGTGGCTCAATCAAAATTGAGCTGGAATTTTAGCTCATTTATGAGGTGGATTTTAGTTCATTAAATGGAACTAAAATTTAGCTCATTATTAGCTAAGTTTTAGCTCATATTTATCCTTTATTTTAATGCACTTTTATTTTAGTTTTTAATGTCTTAAAGTTGTCTCTTGAGTTCCAAAAAGGGCTTTTGGAATCCCAAGTTATGTGTTTTGTATTCGCATGCATGACTCCTTGGTTTCCTCCATGGTTTCATTGCATTTGCCCCCTTGGATTCCTGCCGGCTGCTGGTTTCCTGTGCCTGGGCTCTTTTTTCGTGCGGCCTCCTTGGTTCCGTGCGGTTGCTGCTTCGGTTCCCACAGCTGCCACTTCGGTTTCTTGGCTTGGGATGTTTTTTAGGTGTTTTAATGTTGTGATGTTTAGGTTCTTGTGTTAGAATTAATGTTTGTGTCTTTTCATATTCCCTTTCATACCTATATATATGGGGGATTTGTAATGTTTGAAAAAAAGTTGAATGATAAGTTATTTTTGGAAGTTTTAACCTGCGGGTTAGCTTTGGAAATCCTGCGGGCTCTTTCCACCCTTCTTTCTCATCCCCTTCGGAAATCCTGCGGGCTCTTTCCAACCTTTCTTCTCGGGCTTCTAACCTCTTTCGTCTCTCCGCAAGTGCCACTCCACCTGTATCCCTCTTCTCTAATTGCGGCAACTTTAGGGTGTCGTCATTTTGTTTGCAAGAGTCGTTTGTATTGGTGTAAGTTTTCTTTTGTTTAGTTTAAATTGAAATGTGAGAGTTTGGTCTTTCCTACTTCTCGTCCTTAGTCATTTTCGTCGGTAGAAGTCCGTCGTGTCTTTTGTGATCAAGAGATATAGGCTCCCTATATTTTTTTTGATCGCATCAGGGTCCCTGCATGAATTCTCATTTACGTGGATATAGGGGTTGTTTTGACTTCATATTGTTGTCAGTTGACCTAGTTTACAGTGACCTCCTTTATGTTTTCCAACTTCTATATTGTTTGACTCCTGTGTTGATGCATACAAATTTCAGTTTATTTTCATTTTTTTATTGTAATTCAAATACTATAGTTTTTTTTTTTTAATTTTTTTTATTCTACCAATGATCATGAGTAGGTAGTGCTTAGGCTTGGCAAACCTTGGGTGTGCTAGCTACTTGGTTTATTTGGTCTTTGGGCTACTGAGTGCTTCTCGGGTTGAGTTGGGCTGCTCGGTTTTGGGCTATGGTTATTTTGGGAGCTGCTTGCTCTAGCTCATAAATGCTTGAGCTGATGTTTAGCTCATTATTACGAAAAGTTATTCCACTTGTTAGCTCATTATATAGAGTGGAATTTCGCCTTTTCCTTTCTCTGTGTCTCTTCGGTTTTTCCCCAACTGGTTCTCCTTCCCGTGGCCTGTTCTGGTCTCCCTGGTTGCTGGTTCCGATCCCCTATGCTGCCCCTTCGCTTCCTCCCTTGGCTGCTTGTCCTGTGGCTGCTTTTCCCGGTTTTCTGTGTGGCCTTTTCGGGTGCTGTTCTGGAATAATTTATGGCCTTTTATTTCCCCTTACCTGATTGATTCGGTTGGAGGTGGAATGGTTGTTTGGCTGCCCCTTTCTCACTTATAAATTGGAGATGTTTTGAAGCATAAAAGGTTGTTGATTTTTGAGCAAATTCTCTACAAAAACATGAGGGTTTCTTCTTTGGAAAAGCTTGAGAACTTATTCCATTTCTCTCTTCCTCTTCTCTATTTCGTCTTGGGCTTCTAACCTCTTCTTCTCTTTGCAGGTTTCACTCCACTTGTTTCTTTCTTCTTGAACTATTAGAAGGTGTTTGTTGGCTGATTTGGTGACATTTGCCGAAGGGGTTTTGTTGGACGTTGGATCTTGTAGCTGTGGTGCACACTTGATTTGCAAGCCCTTAAGCTCTTATTTTACTTTGCCTACTTTTCGTTGCATGTGAGGAAACCGCTTGCCGGTTGTTCTGAAGATAGTGTTTTTTAATTTTAATTTTGTTTTGGTTGTTTGGCTTCGTTGTCTTGGTGTTTGTTTGGATGTCATCATTCTAGTTTGAATTGAGTTTTGTTCTACTAGTCCTAGTGTTCTCCAATTTTGGCTCTTTCTTTCTTGTTTGCCTACACCATGTGTGCATTTTGAGATAGTATGCCTGTGAAGCCTCTTCAAACTTCCATCTTCTTACTTGAGCATGTCCTGCATTTACTTGATACTTTATGCTTTACAACTATTATCTTATTTACTTATATTATATGCTGCTTCAAGCCAAGCAATACTTTACATTGCTTACATGGATTTAATGTCAATAGATGAGTGAGTACCTCTTTCGTTTTCCTTTTCACTTCTCATTTTGTTATTTTTGACGTGGTTTGAATCCGATATACACTTGACACAGATGAGGGAATTATAATTTTGGCTCATTTTACTTGGCTGCTATTTTATCTAATTTCAGGTTTTTTCTACCTTCGGGTTTGTTCATAAGATTGCCACATTCGAGAAAACAGCTGGTTTTCAGGTAATAACTGCACTTATTTGTACTTTTACAGCATTGGATTCTCAACTTTGCCCTCATGAGATATGCACGCCCTTTTCTTTAGGCATTAGTCCAGTTTTCGGATTCAGAAATTGCATCTACTGCTAGAAGTTCCCTGGATGGGAGGAGCATCCCAAGGTATTATCTGATTTCCATGTTTTAATTTATGCATTGAATGGTAAATGATGATCCCTTTGCCTGCACAACTAGATACCTCCTGCCGGAGCATGTTGGTGTTTGTACGCTTCGTATAACCTTTTCAGCACATACAGATTTAAACGTGAAATTTCAAAGTTGCAGGAGTAGGTAAGCAATTCTTTTAGTATGTCTACTTCATTGTTTTGCTGAAGCAATATTTCAGGGCCTTGAACTGTGTTGTAATTTATAATAATTTATCTTGTTTTTATGAGCTTCTTTCTCTAATGCTTTATAAGAAGCTAAGAGTTTGAAATTTGATAGAAGCTTCAGAATGTCCTCAAGCTATGTAATTCAATTATTTTAGAGCTCTATCATATCGTTTGAGTTTATTTTTCTGATGATTTTATTTCTCTACAAATTTTGCTATTAAAACATGCAATCTCTGATTTGCCACAACTTCATTTTTGGAATATTCATCCAGAATTTTCATAACGTTTTGGATCATTTTTCATGTCTTTATGTAGGGACTACACTAATCTCAACCTACCTGTGGCTCCTTCAGCTATTGATGTAACTGGGCAGGTGAGTCATGGTGAATTAGTGATTTATTGTTTATTTAAATGTTTTTTATTCATATATATATATATATATATATATATATATATATATTATTTGTTTTAAAAAGGATAAAAAAATTTACACCCATGCCCACTCACCTCTTGTACAGTCCTTCCAGCTGCATTCTAACCGTCCAGTCCAGGTGTCAAGCATCCCAGAAAAATCTCTGATCAATCCCAGCCATCCGTTTTGGCTGCAAACGCTGAATAGGGTGATAGGGGAGGGACTCATTGATTCGAAGCGATCTCTCATTCCATACACTCTCGAGAGCTACGGGCTTTTCGTTTTGAAATCCTACAACTCTCTTTCTACTCTCCTGATCCCCTCCCGATGTTTGGTTGCTGCTAACGGCAAGATCAAGGCTAAACCGAAGCTTGGATCGTCCCATTTGTTGGAGCTCGCGCTAGAAGCTTCATCTGAAATCAGAGTCTTCTGGAGAACAACACGGGGACAATCCAAATATTCAACCGTGCTTAAATCATCCAAATCCGTTGATTATATTGCGGTAAAATCTAAACCATAGGTATTTATCTAGGTTCTTATTCAGGATTCTAAATAGTGCATCAAATGGTTTAAAAACACCTCCCCACTACTCCTTAGACTCTAATAAAACTTTGTTCAAAGTTTTAAACTGCTTGGTTGAGTATTTTGTGAAAACAAAAATAAAAAAGATGTTTCTAGGGTTTCGGGTGGCTGAAGGTTGAAGACGAGCCCGTGACTGTTCGATCCATTATATTTGGATTGAACGGTCATGATCTTATTGTATTATAATCCAGTTCAGGCACTCGAAACCGCGGTTTAACCAGATCTTTGTCCGGCTAGAACCAGCCGGTCCGCTCAGACTGCGCGATCGATCTTGACCGATGAATCGTTCTGGTCGGGATCAATCCCGCAGGTTTGATCCTGATCGTTGGATCCACGGCATGTTAGATCTGACTGTTTCATCTAATGCGTTCGTTTCGAAACGCGGGGATAGGTGCTATGGCTCTTGCACAACATCTTCATAAGAAGTTTAGTAATCAGGATAGGCAATCTTATTCCTTTCTATTATGTTCATATATATATATATATATATATAAGTCCTGGGGTTTGATTTGGTCCCCTGAAGCCCTCGATCGTCGAGCTTATCCGACTGAGGGATTGAAGACTTGAATACCCAATCTCCTTGCCGTTGATTCGCTTCGGCCGAGTCGAGCCAAAAAGGCAAATATCCTCCTTACCTCCCAATGCCGAGGAGGGGTGCTGGAAGGTTGCTAGATTTTTCAAGGAAATAAAAAATATTTTTTAAAATTAAATTTAAATGAAAAAAAATAACAGGTACCACAACAAAAAGATTTGAAGGAAGTTCCGGGGTGATTTGGTCCCTTGAAGCCCTTGGCTGTCAAGCTAATCTGGCCGAGGGAGCGCAGACACTAATGGACTCGATCCTCTGAATCTCCTCGCCTTTGATTCGCTCCGGTCGAGTCGACCTAAATGGGCAAATGCCCTTCTTACCTCCCGGCACCGGGGAGGGGGCGCCGGGAGGTTGCTGGATTTTTCGGGGAAATAAAAATATTTTTAAAATTAAATTTAAATGAAAAAAATAATAGCTTTTGCAACAAGAAGATTTGAAGAATGCCCCAGTGTTGATTCGGTCACTCGAATCCCTTGGCCATCGAGCTAATCCAGTCGAGGGAGCGTAGACACTAATGGACGCTCTCAATCTCCTCGCCATTGATTCGCTCCTGTCTAGTCGAGCATAAAGGGCAAATGCCCTTTTTACCTCTCGGCGTCGGGGAGGGGACGCCTGAAGGCTGCCAAATTTTCAAGGGGACAAAAATTACCTTTTAAAATTAAATTAAATTATTAAATTAACGGGTTCCACACAATTTTAAGACTTGAAGACTACTAATGGGATCGATTCGCTCTCCTAATCTCCTTGGCGTTGATTTATTCCGGTCGAGTCGAGCCAAAAGGGCAAATGCCCTCCTTACCTCCCGTCGCCAGGGAGGGGATGCCGGAAAGTTGCCGAATTTTTTTTCAAAAATTCGGGACTCAGCCAAATTTTTGGAAGGCAATCGTCGACAATCATTTGCAACCGATCATCATCAATCAAAGCTTCCGAAGGCCAATTTTGAAACCTGACAACGTCTCGAAGCCCTTGGCCGTTGATTCGCTTCGACCAAGAGAACCTAAAAGGGCAAATGCCCTCCTTACCTCTTGACGCCGGGGAGGGGATGCCGAGAGTATAATACCCAAGTATTTGAAATAAATGTAAGTATAAACTTCCTCTTAATATTTATTTATTTCCATTAAATTCTACTTTTAAATCCGAGCATTTTTGACATGTAGAAGTATACGTAAAGTATGAATCTAATTGTCTAATTTAATTAATTGTATACCTAATGTATTTAACTGTTAGTAATTAACTGTTTAGGATTATAACAGTTAATGGAAATCTAAGTATTAGGTTTATGCACGATTAATGCATTTCAAATTTTATTTCCCTAATTCCACTTAGGCTAGCATGCATTGGTTGATCTTTCCCTTAATTCATCTAACGGTTAGCAATAGAGCAAGAACTTAGTGGAATTTAGAATATGTATATTATAATGTATGGTGGAGTCATGTGTTTGAATCATGTGGCTGAGAGTAAAGCTTAGTGGAAAGATAGTGGAATGTGTAGCATATTAATTAATCAAATAACTAAAAGCCTTTGCATTTACTCATTTCATTTTCCACTAGCTGGAAGTTCGAATGAAGTATCCTGCAAGCAAGGAGACGGAGGTGGGTCTGCCGTATGTGGGTGCTGTAGCTATTAGAATTGGAATTGAATTCAGATTTAAGGAGGAAATCATGTAAGGGCTGCTGCAGAAAATTTCAAAAATCAGGTGAGAGCTGTTCTGGGTTACTTACATCAGTATTTTCTAAGATAAGGTTTTCTAATACTAGTTTTTGGAAGTCATAAGATATTTTTTAATGTCTAGTTGCTGAAATCAGGCTGCATAAATCAGTGGTTGTTGGTTGAAACTAGGAAGGAAAAGAGAAATAAAGGGAAAGAAGTAGAGAGGAAATTTTGAAGGAAAAAAAAAAAAAATTGAGTTGAATTAGGAGAAATGTGGTAGAGGTGGTGTACAAGAGGAAGAGAAATCCAACTCTAGGAGAATCAATTCCTAGCGAGGAGAGATACCCAACGATGCATAAGAAATAGTAACAATTTTATAAAATTGTAAATTGATATTTATCATGTTTATGATATCATTTTTTTGTTTTTCACATGATAGCATGTATTTCAATTAATTACAATTGGTTCATATATGGATTATGCATGTAGTTGATTAAATTGTTTCTATGATTATGGAATGTACCTGAAAATGAAAGAGAATATAAAGTGATTTAAGCCATATGTTGGGGGATAAGCCGCACAAGTAAAGTCGAGAGACCTGACGAGGTAAGCCTATACTCTCAAGTCTAGAAGTTGAGAATTTGGACTCAACCCTGAATTGAGAGAACAACTTCAATTCTAAAAGTTGGGAAGCTAGACCCAACCTTAAATTGAGAACCTGAATTGTTGCAAAAGCTTGTAGCCATCATATGACTTGTTAAAAAGGGTGTTGAACAATTAGCAAGATGGAAAGTACTGCTATGTTTTCTTGTGATCCTTATGTAAGGTGCTCTAACCATGTTATATTTAGTCACTAATGTTATGCATTTCTTAATGATAAAATGTTATTATTAATTCTTGTACATTGCTTGTGTATTTTACTAGGTCATAGCTCATTGGCAGTGGTTGTACTGCAGGTAAGGGAAAAGAGCCTGCAGGGCATTAAGAGGAGGTGATCGCTCCTTTTGGTGTAAATATATTTTGGTATATAAAGAGATCTTAAAGGAGATATGAAGGATAGCAATATAAACTTTTTGTATGTAAGTAAATTTTAAAGGTTTTAGTAGAGCTCTATATTTGTTTTAATTATATTTGATGATCAGTAAAGTACATTACATGCTTCCCATTATTAAGTTTGGAGTTGATAGGTTGACATGTTAGGAGAGTCTAAATAGATTTCGTTTTACTCACTTTATTCCGAAAAGTAGTAGCTTAGAATGGGTATTAGTAAGGAGTCGATTTAGATTTTCTTTTATCTGTTATACTCCAAATTGACAGTTAGGAGTGGTAGGCCAAACTGGGGTGTGACAGAGAGGTTGCCGAAATGAAAACTGACCAATGACATCCAACATCTTAATTTGAACAAATTTAATCATTCTAAATGATTTAAAATTATATGATTAATAAATAATAATTCCAATAAAAAAGAAGGGGTCTACACCATCAAGTCGAGCAAGAATTTCTAATTAATTGGAACATATAAAATGAGACGGAGGTAAAGTGTTTTTGTTTACCTAAACCATTTAACAAATGATAGTGCAACTATTGGTGGTAAGGAGTCGTCTTAGACCCCTTTCTTCTTTATTCCGAAAAGTTGTGGCTTGGAATGGGTATTAGTAAGGAGTCGGTTTAGATTTTTTCTTATCTATTATACTCCAGATTGATTGTTAGGAGTGGTAGGCCAAATTGGGGTATGACAGGGTCGTCGAAATGAAAACTGACCAATGACCCCCAACATCTTAATTTGAAACAAATTTAATCATTCTAAATGATTTAAAATTATATGATTAATAAATAATCATTCCAATAAAAAAAAAGAAGAAAGGGGTCTACACCATTAAGTCAAGCAGGAATTTCTAATTAATTGGAACATATAAAATGAGAGGGAGGTAAAGGGTTTTCATTTACCTAAACCATTAAACAAATGATAGTGCACCTACTGGTGACATATAAGATAAATGTTTGTGACAATCAAACCAGAGAATAATATTGAATCAATCTAAATCAGACAATGTAAATTGTGTTAATAGCAAGTGACACAACCTTGTTTTAAAAATTCAAGGAAATTAACATTTGATTTTGACTTTAATTGATTATTCGAGGAGATTTTGGCAATTTACAATTTTGAGATTACATGAAATCAAAGCATATTGATTTGACGCATGTTTTAGCCAAATCAAAATCATGCCACTATAGTCTTTGCTTGAAAACATTTATCATGCATCTCCTCTCATCTTAGCAATGTATGTTTAGAGTTTGTTATTTAAGAATTTTGAGAAAACTTCATTCAAACTAAGAATCTTAGCGGCATTCTCTTTCTATGTGATCAACCTTTTATAATAACAAGTCTCTTTGCAATGATGAGTTTTGATGCACAAGAGTCATTCTATTGTCCATTAGATCTACATGATGTTCTTCAGTCAATAATTTTGGTGAGGTATATTCGAAGAGTTATGTCAATGCTATGAGATGTCTCTTTTGACACAAATACACTAGATCACTCCTATGCTATTAGCATCTTAATAAAAGCCTTATGTAGCTTCTTTTTAGCACTCTTATGTGATAATTACCCATCATTATGTTAGGAGGTATGCCACGATGATCAGGGGCTTGAAGATCACTTGTTGGTTCAGGAAATTTATATATATAATGAGGTCATGATTCATTTGATTGTGTACAAATGTACTAAAGTTAGGACTCAACCTTGATTTAACAAAATGTTTCACTCCAAGAAACATTACAAATTTATTAAAAATATTTTAATGCCACAGGATCCGCAACATGTGTACAAGCGGACGAAAGGCTTGGGCATTTTTCTAAAAGAAAAATTACTTGCATAAATGGATCATATTTAAATATTTTAAAATGCCCCTTATATACTAAATATGATCCCCTAAACTGAAATGCTACCACCCTGCATATGTGCTCCGACAAATGCAATAAATTTCTAAACAGCAATGTCCTAGAATGCTGCGCAGGGTCAAATGCTTACTAATGTAATATTCTATTTTCAAAATAAATATAACTCGCATGTGCTCCAATCGTCACATCTGAGTCTCAAATCCAACGATTCGAGAATGCTGTGTGAGTCTAATATTCAAGTCTCCTCCTCGAAAGGACTAAAGTTGACACGACTTGAATTATAAAATGCCTCCCAAATTCCTACAAAAATGCAAGTGACTTTAATGTCACCCCGATGATGGCCGTTTTGAAAGTAAATATCAACCGAAGGGGTCAAATCTCAAATCCAACAAAAGTCTAAATTACTGAAATGAAATCTTTCACTTAAAAATTCGAAACTAAAAATCATTCACCTCCCGCAACCATTTGTCGGGGGTGATAAATTTGAAATTAATCTCAGCTCACAAAGAGCGAATGCATGTCGGTTGTATCACTACAAATCATCCTCAAATAGTCTCGTGACAGCAGGGACGTGGTACGTGCCCTCTGATCGGGTGGTTTTGCCCCAAAATGGCACAATTATATTACGATCACGGCCAAAGCCCGTATGTTCCTTAAAGGCTTCAAACCCTTGAGTATGAATCATAGGGTATATTCAATAGGCACAAAGCGCACTGTCAGCTAAGGTGGATTCATATTTATCCCCTTAGACAAACATCAACCCAGGTCTATAAGGTATTCTTGGACGAAACAATCATGCATGCTGATAAGGTACCTTCTGTCAGGTTGGGTCGACTATCTCCTATGACTAAGTAGACCAGAGATCATGACAGCCCGGGATGACGGAATCATGGGATTTTGATCTGGCTCGTCTTTATTCCCCTCACCACCAGTTTTAAGTTTATGGTGATAAACTCTAAATTCCAAAATTCAAAATCCTAAAACTGTTGCTATTATACGATAGGTTCATAACCAATGTGCCGCTTTAATAACTAGCCTTAATCAAAAGTTCTCTCTTGTTATCGGGAGGGGTAATTAACTATAGGGGCTTGCACCTATTGGAAACCAAAACTCAGATCAAAATGTCCTCACAAAAATGAGGGCAAAATCTCTGGGTAATGTCTTATCTATAAAACCTAATATGCCTTCAAAAAATTCACCCGGAACCTAATCTCGTTAAAACTCTATTCCGTTGTCACAAACACTTAAAAGAAAAATAGACGGATGTGCGGAAAGGCCCGGATCGCATCAAAATGGAATTTTCGGAGCCCACAGTTTGTAGACTAATCATTATTATTTTAATAGATATGGTAGTGACAGTTTAAAATTTTTTTTCAGTTTTGTCTCATCTTTTCTTCACTTTATTGCTGAGTGACCGTCGAACATATTGAAATCTCTTCAAAAGGTTTCCCCACTAAGATAGGCAAGAAAACCTATTTTTAAAAATGTTTGCCGTTGGCACGCGCTGGATCCCTTTGGACCATTCATAATTTTCAATATTGTTTGCCTCGACTGTGCTTTTGTCAATTGGTTTAAGATATCGGACATTCTAGAAAATAGAAAAGATATTGACAGCGTTTCAATGTCATTTATGCACTGTTTATCAGACGTGATGAGGAATTTGTCTTCTTAGTTGAGATGCTTACATGAGGTTCACACAACAGTGGCAAACTTGTCCAAAAAAGGTATAGTGAGTTGTTGGTCCTTGCTGTTCATCCTGTTAAGATAAGCTGATTATATACTTGTCTTTTCTTATCAAATTCACTGGGCTTGTGAAGCTCTATGATGTCTTTGCATTTTCAAATGAGAACTAGGCAATTTGGGAATTTAGCCATTTTGATGGCAAGGCTGAAACTGATGTTTTTTCTTTCGAGGCCTATCTAATCATTAGATATGCTTTCTTTTTAATTAAAGTTCCACCTGCACCTTCTATATTTTTTTCTAGTATAGCTGAAGATTAAATCAATAACATCTCAAGTTGCTTTGTTATTTAAAATATTCTTTTTGGAGTTGATTTTGATTTCTATTTTGTTTTTTATGTTGCTACTAGGTGCGTAGCAGTGTCAAGATTTATTTCCAAGTCCGAGGTTTGAGTCCTACAAAAAAAAAAAAACAAATAGTATTTAGTAGCTCGGTTATTTAGTCTAAACTCTTTTGACCTTGCAATGCTCAAGTCATTAGCTGTGTTGATTTTGCACATGACAAACAATGTTTTATGAATAATTTGTTCCCTATGTACATTGCTTGTTTATTTATTAATTTTCGGTGTTTTGCCTGTGGCTTACTTTGAAACTGCTGTAATGGGCAATGAATTCCCAAACGAGTGATGCTTTCTTGCTTTCTATGCAGATGTCCAAACTGCTGTAATTGCGAAGGAAGTCCTGGAAGGACATTGTATTTATGACAAAGGATTCTGCAAGCTTCACCTGACATATTCACGGCATACTGATCTTAATGTGAAGGTAAAATGAAATTGAACTTGCATTATTAAGCAATCTGGTTACATAGCTGCCTAACTGTTCAAGTTAAAAGACTAGTCAATTAGAATTGCGTCCATCATAAAACTTAAGGATTAGGTCCCATATTTGAAAAATCTTGTGCATGCTTTTAAGAAACACATTAGTAAAGTGCCATACAATCATTACGATCTTTTATCATCATACGGTGGCACTTCATATTTTTAGCTACACGTTTTCGATTATCGTTGATGTTCTAACTAGTTTATTGCGCCCAGATAAACAATGATCGTGGGAGGGATTACAGTGGAAGGAACACTGCCATTTCAGACAGCCAACCTTCGATCCTTGGACCTCAGCCTATTCCAAGACTGGGATACATGAGTATTCCATATCCACCAACGCTTCAGCCTGCTATGAGTTGGAGCAGTGGAGCAGCTGGGCCAATAGTACGTCCACTTTCTCATCCTCATGGCCAGATTTACATGCATCAGCCTGTAAAGATGCCTCCAGCAGTTCCAAGTGGGATGGTTCAGCTGCCTGGTCCTCCCATGCCACCTCAGCAGCCTTATTTTCATTGAAAAGCATCTAAGCGGTTGATGGAGCATCATATCATGTTTTTTTTTTTTTTTTTTTTTTTTTTTTTTTTTTTTTTAATTTTGCGTTCAATATGACCTTTTTGCTATATTCCCATATAATTCATTGGGTGCCATTTGAGTGGGTTATAAGCCGGTATTATGAAATGAAGGTCTGATTTTGTTTTGGACAGAACATTTAATACCACTTTCTTGCACATCTGCTACTTTTCTGATTGAATCTATAGAAATCTGCTCGTTGGTCACCACATGGTTGTGATGCGTGATACTTTGTTTTCTCTTGATTGAGAATAAAAAACTCTAAAAACATTGTTTTTCTTATATGAAGCAAATCAAGGTTGTAAAAATCGAGATAGAATAAAAACGGATGATGTAATAAATATTAAATATATTTGAATAATAAGATAATTTTGTAATAATTATAAAATAATATAATTTTGGGTCTAAAAAATAAATAAAATTTATGCATAAATAATATGTTTTATAATTTTAATGTTAAATATAAAGTATTATTAATTTATATTATATATTTAAATATTAATAATTATTACTTTTGAATTTAAATGTAAATATCTTTCATCTTCAATTTTAATTTATATTTAATAGATTTTTTTTTTATTTGAGCTGATGGTGAGTTTCTTTGGGAGTGTGTTTCTCATAATATGAGTGATTTGTATGAACCGATTGTGCTTACTTGAGAGGTGACTTTAATATAACTGCTTTGCAAGTTGAGAATGGTTTCCCTTGGGTGAATCTTCATTGTCGAAGTGTGCGGGGTTTGAGTTCTCCCGTTGTGACATGTTAAATACTTATTAAATGCATGAGTAGGCATGTATAAGTATATATTTAGTTCCTTGATTCACTTGTCCCTTTGGAAGGAAAATGATCAAAAGGATGAGTGAATTAAAGTTCTTGCCCAATTTTTATTGTAGTCTTGGTTGCCACACTGATCACTCATGATGATAGTGATGTGACACCTATTATATCATTTCCATATAAGAACTGATATAGTACTTAATACCCTTGCACCTTTGAACACTTGATTGAATATTCATGCGTTATGAGTAAGAGGAAATGGATCTCACTAAGTTAGTGATGTAGATAGTAAAGTTGGTGAGGAGGATAGTGATTCACCATTCCAAGGTTGAGATGGATAAGTAGCATCCTGACCCTTTGAGCAGTAAGGAGAAGGAAGTTGAGGTGGGTTCCCAATAAGTTTATGGGTATACTAAGTTTATCATCCCTCCCTAGTAAAGAAGGTGAAGGTTGAGTTGGGTAGAATGAAGGAGACCACAACATTGCCAAGTAGAATCTCCTCACCCATAGAACTTATTGTTATTGAAGAGGTGCTTCTCGAGTTATGTAATGCCCCCCTGACATTGGATAAAGTGAGATGAATCCCTCATGGGTGACCAACATAGGAACTAGCTATTTAGGAGATAGCTTCTATTGAGGTCGCATCAACCTTGGCTTGAGTCGAGTTAATTGCTACCCTAGTAGAAGGTAAGAAGAATTACTTGCAGTTATTGGAATGGATTTTGTCTGGTGGATGAGTGTCTCCCTCTATCAGTGAATGTATAATACACCTCTTCTTGAGCAATTTATTTGATCATCTACTTGGCGGTTCGATAAATTTTCATTAATGAAGTACATATAGTGAGATAACAATCCTCCACAACAAACCTTTTTTATTTTCTTTAAGTTTTTTGGCGAGGGCTTCTTTGTTGTTGATCATTCATTATTAACCATAAGGGTTCCTCTTGCAACTATGAGTGCTCATGTTACTGAGCCTATAATAGGAGACATGTCAGCAATGAGGGTCAAAATTGATGTGGAGACTACCAAGGTGCAAGATGAGACGATATTGTTTAGGAGGTCCCAGCGACCAAGAGGTTGGTGGAACCTATAGTTCTATGCTTCTCGCTATCTCTTAGCTCTTTTAGCGATGGAATTCTAGCACATGTGTTGACAAAAGGTGCTAGCAAAGCGGGTCAACATTATGGATAAAATCCTCAATCCTTAAGATGTCATCGATGAAGAAGGAGGGAGTACCTAGAAAGATGTTGTTTACCTCCAAGTGATGGAAAGGTATTCAATAAAGTTTAGGTATAAATTGTACTTTAATACATCTTTTCATTCGTAGACTGATAGAGAGTCTAAGAGGACTATTCAAGTATTAAAGAATCTTTTTAAATTTTGTGTTCTAGATTTTAGTTGAAGCTCAGGGACCACATTCCTCTAATTGAATTTGACTATAATAATAGTTTTTAGTCAAGTATAAGTATAACCCCTTACAACACTAAGGTAGAAATTTTGAAACCCCACTATCTTGGATAGAGGTAGGAGAAAGAAGTTTGATTAAGCCAGCCTTTGTTGATGATTTTACTAAAAATATCTATATAATGAGAGATAGATAATGGTCGTACAAGATAGACAGAAATCATATTATGACAATAAACACCAAGTTATAGAATTTTCGTTGGATATTTTGTGTACATGAAGATCAGGCCAATAAAAGGTATCAACAGATTTGGAAAGGAAGGGAAGCTGAGTCTAAGTTATATTGAACCATTTAAAATAATTGAAAGAATTGAAAAGTTTGCTTACAAGTTACAATTGCCAGAGAATATGTTTGATATTCACCATACACTACAGGAAAATCAATGAATACCAGCAGCTATTCTAGCGGTTAATCTGACGGTCAAATAACTGCCAGAATTACCAGCGATTTAACCGGCTATCTGACCGCCAGTATTAATCTGCAGTTTACCCAGTGGTGTTTAAAATAAACCTTCAGAAATGCTGGCGATAAAATAACCCCCGGGTAGGCTGCCGGTTTTCTATTTTTTCGGTGCCTTTACAACTGCCGGTGATAAGTGTTTTTTTTTTCGACAATCGAAACTGCCGAAAAGCCACCGGAAGTTGACCACCGGTAAAACCAGTGTTGATGGACGGTGCGCCATTAGTAATAAATCAGCGATTGTCGGCGCTATGACCACCGGAAATCACCGGCTGTGTTTGCCGCCAAAAAGCTACAAAAAATTGACTACCGCAATTTGTTTCCTACACGGTTTATACCGATGATAAATAAACCACGAGAAAATCACCAAAAAATTTATGATAACCACCAAAAAAAGTGACCAATAATTAGCAATTTCCCTGTAGTGATATAGTTCACATGCCATCATTATTGAAATGGGTATCTGACTTTAAGAATCCAATATCTATAAAAGATGTTGAAGTACAACCAAATTTGAGTTACAAAGAAGAATTAGAAAAGGATTTTGGCTTGTGATGTAGGAAACAAAGAAATAAATAGATTCTAATGGTCAAAGTATAAAGTAAGCACGAGACTAAAAGGTGTGCTATGTTAGAGCAGAAATATGAGATGAAATAATTATAAACTGATCTATTTTTTATACGAGTATTGAAATATCAAGGATGATATTTTTCTCAGGAGGGATGAATATAATATCTTCTTTAACATTGTTACACCCATTTTGACCTAGCCTGATAAGTTTGATATAATGGAATTTCTGTATTTTCATTATGCACACGTATGAGAATGTTTATATGCATTTAATTTGTTTTTATTCTACTCTAAAGTGCATTCCAAAGGCTTTGTGTACATGAAATTAAAATCTAAAATTTATCTCTTAGTATTGCTGCAACATAGGATTTGGGATTTTTTTTTGGGTGGGGGGGGGGGGGGGGGGGGGGTGGGGGGGGGGGGGGGGGGGGTTCTACAATGTTAATCTCCTAGTTTTAGTCATTTTAAAATGATCTAAGTATGTGCTATGACATCACTATTTGGAGTTTCATGGCCCTAGGTCAAATTTTTATAAAATATCAAATTCCACTTTAACAAAATTTTGAACAAAACTTTTACCCATTTGAGTTGTGTCTGAGAGAGAGAGAGAGAGCTGGGGAGAGATTCTAGAGACAAAAAACTAGTTTCAGGCAACCTCAGCGCATTTTTTTATATTAATTCAGTTCATAAGGTTGTCAAAATTGAGGTAGTTACATTCTATCTGTCTTAGTTTTTTATAATGTGAAAGTTTTGGAAACTTTCTAATTAAATTTTAAATTTTTTGAGTAAAAAAAAGGATGACGTCATATTAGCTAAACTTTCACTACTTAACTTTTTGTATGTTATAGATACGAGCATTTTGGGCATTAAAAATTTTTTTCTTTAAGAAATTCCACAGCTAAATTTAAAGTGCATTATTTTAACAAATTAGAAAATATTTTTAAAATATAAAAATAATGTTATAGTTTAATGAAAGCTTCAAAATAGTATCTTGAACAATCCTTGTTAATTTGATACAATTAAAAAAAATTATGAAACTCTTTTTAGTTGTAGAATTTGTTGGCTACTAATATAGCATTATGTGGATTTATACAAATTAATTATTGTTGCAACCCATGACTCCGAGTTTGAGATTTTGATGATGACAAATAATGTCGTTTGAATCGTCTATTCATTAAATATTATTTTATTTGCTATTGTCCGTGAGTACTAACATTTCAGGAAGATCAAAATCTACTTAGGACGACAGGAAGACTCAAGAATGGGTAGATTAGGAGTATGAGTCTGCAATGTATTTTGTTGATTTTATTTTTTTTTTTATTTTCTTGAGTCTGGCCACAAAATGCATAAAAGTTTGAGCAACCATGCACACACACAGGGGGAGAATGTTTTTAAATGAAAAATTTAGAGTTTTCTTTCTCTGTAGATCGTACTGTATGATGGTATTTCGTACCATACGATCAGAACTTTGTAGGACGATTCTGTGAATAGATC